AAAAAAGATGAACACAATAATACATATTCCAGCTCTGCTTCTTCCTCCCAAGATTCAAATTTCAAAGTATGGCCTCGGGCAGAGAAATAATAATCCCAAGTAATCCTATAAGGTGTTTCAAAAACGTACAGATCCATACAGGTCCATTTGTTACTGCCTCCCAAAAGAGTTTCACCTACATTTGTATATGCTTTCCAAAGCCTGTGAAGGCTTGTTAAAACAAAACACACCCAAATAATGGCCAGATTTGTTGCAAGAGTGCTTGGTTTACACTTATTTAAGTTAAGGATCATTACTTGCTCCATCAATAAGCCTGTTATCCACCCAGCCGATCGTCTTAAATTACCAGAATCAAAAGTCAGATCATACCCCCGAGTAGAAGACTTTAACAACTAAAGAGTTCCACATGCTTATATCTCTATGTCTAAAGTAAAACATGTTACTCTTTTAAATCCAATATATTGTATGGTATAATAGGTAGTTAAAATGTGCACATCTGAATGCACATAAAGGAAGTGTTGAGAGAAGGCCTGTGGAGTTTATTCCCCTTTTGCAATTCACTTGATATTCGTGTTACTACTGTAAGACATATTGAGAGAGGGCCTACCTCATTTAAGTTATAACTTGACTGTCGAAGTCTCCCACTCCAGAAATTAATGTCCCAGTGGGTCAATTCTTTAGATTCTACAGTGCCTTGACTTTTAGCAAAATCTTTGAGCTCCTGCATGTCTTTGATAATTGAAAGAACAACCAGGAAAAAAAAATTAATAAAGAGGTTGTTAGGGAAAACTTTCTTTTTTGGTCATGAACAATTCCATAACTAGAGCATCAACCAGAGAGCATCCAGGATATCTATATGATTGATTGCTATAATCAGGTGAGTGCAGAAAGATTCCACACTAATAAACCTCTATAATGGATACATACGCCATTAGGACAGAAAACGTTAACACATTAACCAATTTCATTCTTAAAAAACCAAGCAATTGAGATTATGAACCGATAAAATGGTTTTTGGTGTTTCAATAAAGCTTTTTGTAATTATTCATAAAAGCCCAAAAAGTGTACTGGTTCTTCAATTATAAAACGGTGCCGTTTTGGTTAAATAATATGCGGCGGTTATAAAAACACCGTTAAAAATTAAGAAAAGTGATGCTAACACTAATTGGAAAATTTGTGGGTTTGGTATGGGAATTGGAAAATTTGATATTCACCTCTGTGAGTCCTACCATACTTAATTTCTGGGTGAGTGAAACAAGCTGCTGGAATGCTCAAATGGTTGAGCATGTGGTCTTTTCCACTGACTTGTTCAACAACTATATGAAGAGAGCAACGCTAAATGTGCAATAGGTGTAAAATGTAAAGCATATAGCCGGAAGTAGCAAATAGCAAGGTAATAACCACATACCAGAAAATTGTGTTCATGACGGAATGTATAGATAACAAACCATACAGAAAATTGTGTTTATTTGAAAGAAACGTGATTTGCATATGTTTTCCAAATGCAAGAGAGACACTGTAAGTTTCAATTGTAGAGCAACCTAGAGAGGCTCCAGAAAAACATTGAAATAGTCTTGCTCTTTGGTAAAGTAACAGTTTGAAGATGAAATGATGAATCAATCACTAAGACTTTCACAACTTGTGTCGTGAATAACAGAAACATAAAGTCAAAAATTAATAAATAAATTTTAAAAAACTCAGAAAGCATATCATCAACAGCATTCAGTAAAGACAGTTTAATAACATTATTGGCACATGAATGATACAAAAGTAACTGAGAAATTGTTGCAAAAAAATTATAAGACAAATGTAAAAACCACAAGAAAGCTAATAGAGTTAACATGAGGATGACAGCAAGATAGACCTGTGCATGAGTGATGTAGAACTTTAGCCGATTCATTTCACTGGCGATTCTCTCCAAAAGCATGCTTTGGGCCTCCCTGGGATTTGTTCCATTTTCAGTGTGTTGAAAAGAGATTCCATTGCTTAAATGATCCTTTTCTGCCGAATTTAGATCTCCATTGGACAAATCAGCGAGCATACTAGGCAGCTCCTTTATCAGTTTCTCAACCTGCATTTCAAAAAATCAAATGAAGATATTAAAAAGTGACCATGAGTCATTGCAATAAACCAACAGAATCCCACAGTTGGTGGAACAAAGCCTAAAGGTTGCAAATGCAAATGAAAGCATGTTTTCTTTTAAAGTATCCAATTTATGCAGGGTTGCACCCCCTTCGGCTCCTTCTAATAATTTTTTTTAACTTTTAGAAGGAAAAAAAAAAATAGAGAGAGAAGGCTCTTCTGATTTTTAAGAAACTGTAGGTTGAACCAAAAAGAAATAAAAATTAAAAGAAGAAAACTCGAATTACAAATATCAGATATCTCATTTGTAATTAGGAAACTAGTAACTAAAACCTTCAACTCAACTTGGCCTATCACAATTAATTGGCTTTGTTGTATTAAGTTTCTCAACTATCATACAAAAACCATAGTAAGATTAAGAATTTCATTTGTCCACAGTGAAAGCAATGCCAAGGGACCAGAATCAATGTGGTTAAGATAGCACGGAAAGACATTTCAGCATATGGTTTAACTTAATATACAAATATTGGGAACAAGGATTTGTTAAATTGATTGTAAGTTTAGAATTATTTTCTTGGACCTTTGAACAAGCAAACAAATGCAATATTTATGGCAATATCCGGTAACATAATTACAATAGCAATGACTCAAAGGAGAAGAAAAGGCAAAAGTGAACCTACAAGAGAGTCCAAGCATGCTGTAGTAACAGGGCAACCTTCCATGTTCAATAGAGAGAGCTCATGCAAACCTGCAATGCACACAGATACCAAATATTTCAGTGGAAAAGTTACAAAATTTGCCATACCAAGAAGAAAATGAAACCAAAATTGACCACGACAAGTTCTTAAAGGAAGCATTATCAAATCTCAAACAAATAATTTGCCATACCAAGAAGAAAATGAAACCAAAACTGACCACGACAAGTTCCTAAAGGAAGCAATATCAAATCTCAAACAAATATTTTTGAATGAGAAATTTCGAATCTTAAACATATATTTTTGAATGAGAAATCTCAGATCTGAAACATATGTTCTTGAAAAAGAAATTTCAAATCTCAAACATATTTTTGAATGAGAAATCTCAGATCTGAAACATATGTTATTGAATAAGAAATTTCGATAACATACATTGGTGCTTCAAACTTCAAATCTTACCTTCTTGCGGGAGAAAAAGAGATGATCTAGTCTCAATAACTGTAGCTGGGTTTAGATGTAGCGGTATAGACGATATTGCCATCAAGGAACAAGAAGAACCCCCAAAACACAACAATCTAGGGCTTCCTTCACTGTTCGAACTCAGATCTCACAACATAGTCAAGCAAGAAAAGAGTTGATCCAAACCCTAGGAGAAGAATCAACGAAAGGAAGAGCTTGAGAGAGAGAGAGAGAGAGAGGATACGAAACTGAGATTGTAGACGGTGGCGCTCACCTTTGTAGACGATGCAGATGGTGGTGGCAGTGGAGCTTTGAAATCGTGACAGAGAACTTCGAAATCGAAATCACCAGCTGAAGAAGGTTGAATCGTAATATCTGAGACCGAAGGGTTTTAGGGAGAAAGAGAGAGTGAGCGAGTGAATGAGAGATTTGAGGGATCGATAATGAAGGTTTGAAGAAAGAGAGAGGTTCTAATTCTCACAGAGCTGTGAGAGAAAGAGTGGGAGTGGGATAACATGGTGAGACATTTGAAGGCGTTTAAAAACGACTTGTATTGGTAAACGGTACCGTTTTAATTAAATCAAAACGCGACGTTTATAAAACGTCGCTAAATATTAGAAAAAGTGACGTTTAAAAAAACGCCGTTAAATCCCATTTTTCTTGTAGTGAGTACCCCAGACAGAGCCAAAGTGGGATTGCTTGGCTTCCATCTTGGCTTGGGTGGAAAGGAAATGGTGGGCCGAGAGGGAACTCTTCAAATCTTTTCCTTCACCTTTTTCCTTCTTTCCTACCAATGTCAACTAGTAGTGGTTTTACTTAGCAGATATTTACACAAAACATAAATATTTGTTTTTCATGCTATCAAAATAATCCTCAATAAAATGTACATACCTTGCAATCAGGAGAAACAAATAATCTCTCGCTCTCTGTGAATATATTAGGAATCACAACATCAACTTTTTTTACCAAACATCTTGATGGTAACAATCTTCATGTCCAGGAGAATGCCAATGACCAACTATAAATCAATTCCAAACATTTCCAATGAATGCAGAGTCACTGAAAAAGCAAGTAAAATTGCATTATCGCTATGCAACCATTCTCAAAAACCTCTTGATGTTGCAGTAAGTCATGTGTACATTTTCATGGCACGAGTAATGAAGGTTGTGATGGTTGAAACTAAGAGCTTCTATGATTCCAGCACCGTGATGGGATGTTTACTTTCCAGAAGATTAACTTGTTCACTTGTGCAAGTAGAGTGCATCCAATTATAACACAAGAAAACTCTTCATAGCACAAATTTAAATCTGTACAGCATAGCACTAGAATAATCATCTTAATATAATTTATATGGTATCACTGTAGTTTGTGGTGTGTCCGCAGAGTTATGATCAACCTAAAAGCCATGGAAAAATTGCCTACACTCTACCACCTTGAACTATAATAATTCATTTGAACTAATGTCATTAACGAAAATGGATATTTTACATATTTACCACTTAATAAATTCAATTTGAAACTAGTGCTTATTGTTTGAAAACACACTCTCTTACTTGGATAACATAGTTTACAAAGCTCAATGAAATAAATTTTACAGGCCCTATGTAAACAATAATTGGCTTTTAACTGCCATTCCATAGGGCAGAAGAATCAGATGTCAATTACACTAACATGCATGTTATGCACAAGAAGTAATATTCAAAACTGCAACTTACGTGACTGGGAGAAAAAAAAAATCCATAGATGTGTTAAAAAGTACCTTCTAGGTGACAAATCACAAGACCAGTCAATATTTAGATTCAAAAAAATATATATATATATATATATCCAAAAGAAAAATAAAAGTTAAATGATATACAATACAACGTAATCCACACTGTCAGTGCTTAGATGACGTTGTTTAAAAAATTCATAAGATTAACAATAATACTAATAAATAGAAGTAAATCAATCGAGGCGCGAAGCCCATTCATCAAATTTGCCTTAAGCAAGAGTGAGAGTTTCTTGTATCCCATTCATCAAATTTCATGTATCAATCAGAGAACTGATAAACCAAAAATTAAACAATTAAATAGCTCAATCTTAGTAAAGCTGTAGGTAAGAAGTACCATTGATTTCTTGCACAAACTTTTATTTGATAAAATGAAAATCTTACCCACACAATGATCACTTACAATCAACGAGTAAGTACTGACATGAAGTCGCCATGTGGCCATCTGTATGCCCCTGAATAAGGAAATTTCTAAAGTTAACTGATGCAGCATGTTGTCTCAAAATGAAGAACAATAGTACATCCGAAAGTTAAATTACAGATATCCCAAGAAACATAAGGGAATAGAGACAAAAAGTTATCGAACATACAACTATGATCAAACGAAAATGACCAAAATCCCTTACGCATTTTGTTAAGAACTTGCGACTTATTAATCCACATATTATTGGAAAGTTGACATGAAATTTGGACTAACTAACATTATCAGAGCATCTTTCTGGTCAAGGATTGTTAATTGGCCCAAGCTAGACAAATGCCCACACAAAATACCCAAGTATCAGGCTAGAGCTTAATTGGAGTTTAGGCTAATCTGTGTTTGCT